GAAATGCCCATAGCGATGACTCGAAGAACGTACCAAAGACCCTCAGAGGTCCGTTGAAACGCGCGCGTCTGGCGTCAAGCCTACGTCGCAAGAAGTCTGGATCGCCCGTCTGAACCACTTGACTCAAGGTCTGCGTATGATCCACGCGTTGCCGAACGGCAAAATGATTCGATGCCTAGCCAGCCGGCCGAGTTAAGCTTGGAGGGTATTAGGACGGGGACGGCTGCGACAGTCAGCAGCGCCTATGCGTCGGGGCCTTTGCCGACTGACTAGTCGACAGGAAACCGGTCATTCTATGCAGAGAAGAACAGAAGAAGGAAGATCATCTGGCCGACCATTCTCAGGGTCTGGATGCAACGCCCGTGCCATGTCTGACCGGCAGATGCGACGGTCTCGAGATTGGCTCTGAACTCTAAAGAGAACCGATGGGAGGGTCCAGTATCAGAAGTCTCGTGCTGGGCCACTGTTGGCGACCTCGTCTGATCTATGCCTCAACCCCTAAGTGGGGATTAAGTCTACTTGATACAGGCACAGCTGAAAGATGCTCGGGAGCAACTCCCGAGCCACGATAGGGCAGAGTGAAACCGCCTCTTCCTCTTTTCTGGGGAAAATCATTGTTTTGACTGCTACGGTAACCTCTTCCCGTGTAGGAAAATGAGTCCATCATCGTTTAGTTGTCATACCAAAGCTCAAGAGCACGACCATCCAGAGAAACAGGTCGTTTGGTTCCGGAAACAAACAATCTTCATGAGCTGTAATCCGCCTTCAAAGCGGCAATAGCTTCGGCACGCAGGGCCTCCCGTCTGCTTTGACTCTGGGGGTCAAAGTACGGCCTCTCCCCGAGACTCACGGCACGAGACCCTTGTCTCTCCCCGAGGTCATCCACGATGTAGTCCGGCGTCGCGGCGTGGTAGGCCGAGCGGTTGTCCCAGATGGCGACGTCGTTGGGGTTCTGCCAGCGGTGCCGCACCTGCAGGTCGTGGTTCTCGATGATGAGCTGCACGAACCAGTCGAGGAAGTGCTTCGACTCCTCGTCCGACAGGCCGTTGATCTTTTGGACGTGGAGGCCGACGGCGAAGACGCTCTTCCAGCCCGTCACCGGATTCGTGCGGATTACCGGGTGGATGGCCTCCAGGAGCTCGCCCACGTTTTCGGGCGCGCCGCGCGGTTCCGAGTAGAGTTTGAAGCCGTTTTTCTCTGCGGTTGCGTTGAAACCTGGTTGGGCGTACGTGGCTGTCATGCCGTCGAAGAACTTTTGGAGCGGCTTCGATATTCGGTCGTATACTTCATAGCCCGAGGCCCAGAGCGTGTCTATGTTTGGTCAGTACAAGTGTACACCAAAGTTGGCGGCGAAAGCTCGAAAGTGCTCACCTCCTCCCGTCTTGGGCAGCTGTGTTAGACGAAGAAGCGCATAGTCACTCGGCACGGGCTCAAACGTGATATCGGAATGCCACTGTGACCTCTGCGTCTGCTTCTTGGTGTAGTTTAGGAAGCGGTGTATGCCCAGCCGCTTGGCCTGCACCGACGAGATGACGCTGATCTCATCATCATTGGTGTCGCCGCGGCCGGCATTGTTGACGGGGTGGATGTGGAGCTTCGAAGTCGAGGGCTTCCCGGATAGCTCGCCGAGACGTTGGACGAGTTCCTTTTGGAGGTCGTTGTCGATGTTGTCTTGCTTGCGGAAGAATACGACACCGCGCTGCGAGACTGTGGTACTTGTGTCAGTATGGGAGATGAGTATGTCGGTGAAGGCCCGGCTCACTGGTGATTGCTAGGTCACGAAGGAGTTCATCAGAGTTGGGCGCACGCAGCAGCTCTTTGAGATCGAGAGTCGGGTACTCGCGGCCGATGACGGGCGTCACTTCGAAATGCTCGAACTGGTCGAGAACCCCCGTCGCCTTGAGAGGTTCCTTGTGGCCTATCCGTACTTCTGGGAGCTTCTCATCCAGGGGCGGAAAGTCGTCTGCGTATACTGCCTCCTTGACTTGTTCCTTCGCTGGGGGGTCTTTCTCCTTGAGATCCTCGATCTGCTTGGCGGCAGCTGTCTCTGTTGCGGATGGTGCCATTTCTGAATGTCTTCTGGCGCTGAAGAAGGAAGTTTGTTTACTGCGACTTCGACACTTGGACACTTTCTATCGCGGGGTCGAAGAGGGGTCTTGGACACGTCTTATACGCCCTTCCGATATCGATCACCACACCACCACCGTGCGGGCCGTGAAAAAGGCGAAAGTTTGCGCGACATCACACCATATGCAACTCGGATCCTCTAATTGGGTTGACGGTATGCATGCGGGGGTCAGCAGGATTCCAGAGGAAAGACGGGACGACCACCGGTAGAAACGGGCAAATGGCGGGTCGCCGGAGCTCGGCGGCACATGTCGAGGCCGAATCGGAGCCGTGTGTTGGCCTCCCCTCGTCCGGTGTACCCATTTCTCTATGCCGTTTGGGGTAGCTTTCTGTCTTGGCTTCGGTGTCGATGGGCGGGGTAGACCAATAGGATCTGGGCGGCGTCGACATTTGGAGCGAGATGGTTTGCGGAGATGGGATGAGTTGGAGGTTGCATTGCCTGTGGCTGAACAAATCGGAGCCGTTGTGGTATCCATCGCGAGGCTTTGGTTCTTCAGATGAAGTTTGTGCCAAGGATAATGTGCCATGCGCGATCTTATGAGAGCTTCATTTGGAGTACGTCAGGTGAGAGAGAAAGGGCTGAGCTTGACCGGAGGAGGCTTTAGACAATAACGGGACCATAGAGGGAGGACTAAGGTCGCATTGCAAATGACATTAAATTCATTAGGCTCAATCGAGCACCCTATCAGATATGATACCAGTTGCGCAATTGCATCTTAACCAAGTTGAGTTGATAATTCGAAATTGAGTAAAGCAAGCACAACATCTTACAGCGGTTGACGGAACGCCTGGTATTGTCTTACATCGGCTCCGGTCTTGGTAGTGGGCACCGTTCCTCACAGCCTGATATTTCAATCAGTCCAGGGTGAGTAGGCATGGCAGCAGCCGACGTCTATTATTTCGGCAATGACAGCAGTCTTATCATGAAAGAACCGAACCCTTTTATGACAATGACTGATGACATGCTGATCACTGAAGGCGGGTTTACAATTTACGATGACGGAGACGGGGAGAGACTAAGCGTCGATCCACGACTGCCCGCCGACGTCATCGACCTGTCACCGATGTCATTGTTCTAGAGCTCTTGAGCTTTCTGCAACAGACTACTTTGCGACGCGGAATTTCCCTGTGAATAACTACAGTCGCGAAACTCTGACTTTTCAGACACTCATTGCACTTATAGTATTGTAAATCTTACCTTGCCCGAAGAATCATCTCACCTTGGACCGGAGAAGCCAAGATGTCATCCTCAGCACCACCCCAACCCCCAACATCAGAAGCCTACAAGGCACCCTCGAATCCGACAACTCGCAACCCCGCCGAAAACGCAGCAGCACACGATGCCTCCGATCGCGAGACTGCCGCGCGCGATGCAGCGCTAGGCCGCACGCCCTTCCCGCAATCCCAGTCCCGCTCCGTCGACGAGGCGACGCCGAGTTCGCTGGGCGCGGGCGTACACTCCTCCGGCCCCGTGGACGAGACGGAGCGGCGGAATACCGCGTACGTGTCTGAGGGCGGCAGCAGCAGAGAGCTGGAGAACCCCAACGTCGAGGCTGAGCAGATGGCGACGCTTGCGGAGGGCAAGGTTGCCGATGCGGTGGAGAGGAAGAGTGGTACGCAAAAGGTGCCGGGGCAAGAGATAGTTAATGAGGAATTCGGGAGTGGGATTGAGGAGTGAGTATGCCCTTCATTAGTCATGGATGGTGAAACACGTGAGCCAAGCTACTGATTATTAACCTATTGAAAAGGAAGAAGAAGGAACAACAGGAGGCGAGAGATGCGATCAAGAAGGCAAGGCGTGAAGGGGTGGATGTCGATGGTATTGGAAAATCATGACAGCATATATAAGGGACGCTGCGATGTAAAGAAAGTATCACCTACTTGCCGCCTAGACAACTACAACACCGTGCCATGTTTGTGTTACGTTAAATGATCATTTAAAAAGCAAATTGAACGCACGTCTTCAACAAAGTAGTTGCGGAGACATCTCAACCAAAAAAGCAAAAGAGTTGTTCTCCCCTTCCAGAATCGAACTAGAGACCTTTCGATGAAAATGTAACCATTACAGTCGAACGTGATGAACCAACTACACCAAGGGGAGGATCGGAGCTATTGCTCCGCTCGGTGTTGCAAATCGAAGGGGCCGGTAGACCTAAGTAGCTTCAACTCCAGAGCGGGGTTCCCTCCACATCAAAGTCAATTCGAGTTGTCCTTCAGTTGTGAGACGCCATTAGGTGTTTTCTCAGCAATCAAAAGACTCTTCCCCTCTCTCCAGTGTTAAGAACTAGTTGGCGAAAGAATAGAGTTTGCAGTTCCGTAGTTATTGCTATGAACTGGCAGAAGAGAGTACTTCAACAGGGCCCATAACTACAGGGTTGCTCAACACCCTCAAGAGGCGGCACCATCACTCTTGTAGCAAAGCATCTCTCTCGGGTGGTTATCTCTACTCTCTGCCATGTTCCTAATCATTCGAGCAACTTCAGCGGAACTTGTGGGGGTTCAAGTGGAATCAGCGATTGTCTCCTTGCTCTCTTACTAATATCATGGCTTCTGTCTCCGCCCGCATGCATGCGGCTGTGTCTGGCGGGGTTCTCAAGCCCGCTTGCGAGCATCGTGAGCATCCCACAGCGGCATCAAATGTCGCATCCCATCCAGGGCGTTTAGCTCAGTGGTAGAGCGCCCGCTTTGCATTCACCTAGTGTCTGCGGGAGGCCCAGGGTTCAATCCCCTGATCGTCCAGAAAAACTTCATCACAACTCGTGATGATCATTCTTTTGCTTTTTTTATGTGGTTGTATTTTGATTTCACTGGGAGATGATGTTTAGGTAACTCTGTGCTGTCGGCGGGGTTATCCCTGTTCTCCCCGTCCGGGCTCAAGAGTTAAAAGTCTCGTGCAACCATCCCAACACATCCTCTCCAAACACAACCGGCTTCTCAAGAAGAGCCCAATGGCCGCCTTCCCTCGTGATACTCTTGACATCCGGCAGCACGCCAGCAGCTATGCTCTGCTGAAGCAACTCAGGCCTGCACACATAGTCCTGCTCCCCGCCCCAATAGAGCACCGGCACCCGAATTGTCTTCGCCTCCTCACTCAACATCCTCTCTGACTTGTCCTGGATCCCAGAGCCCGTCACAGTGTAAACACACCTTGGTGCAGCAAACCCGCCGTCTCTGCCGTAGCGCTCTATGAAGTCAGCTCTGTGTTCCGATGTGGCGAAGGGTAATGTTGGCTGCGTGCGGTCTTGGGTGATGAAGTCACGCATCTTGCCGGGCGTGCACCAGTTCTCAAGCCAGGTTTGCGGGTCGCCGAAGGTGACGCTATATACAGACTCGAGGTTCTGATTCATGAGGTCTACCGAGTCCTCGGCGAGAAAAAAGTGCCAGTACTCAAAGATGCCGACACCAAATACCTTTCTCGTCATCTCGTTGACTGTTTCGAGATCAAAGTGGCCAGTGGGCGGCATGTAAGGGACGTTCAACGTGACGAGACCGCAGATGCGATCGGGGTGAAAGTTGTATAGCCGCTGAGCGATGAGACAGCCCCAGTCATGGCCGAGGGAGATGACTTTGGTTAAGCCCTCCGCGTCGAGAATCCCGACAGCGTCGGCTGCAAGACGGTGCCATGCGTAGTCTTCTGGGTCGGTGGGCTTCGAGGTATCACCGAAGCCGAGATTATCTAGTGCCACGACGCCGTAGCCATTTGGGACGAGGTAGTTGTTGATGAGGCCGGCCCAGAGACGCGCCGTGTCAGGCCAGCCATGAAAGAGGAGGAGGGTAACCTTGGAGTTGCGAGCGGGCGAAGTGTAGTAGGTGTAGGTGAAGCCGCGAGAGACGTCGAGCGTCTTCTTGGCCAGCGCTGAAAGGTTCAGAGCTGCCATTTCGGAAATGAAGATGGGGTCTCTTAGGTCTAGCTTGACCAAATGAGGTCGCCATCAAAAACGAAATGAAGATGTTATATCTGGGGAGCCTCTTCAGAGTATAGCTAGCTCAAGCAAACCTCCATCACCCAGTCCCTATGGGCCAGATTTCAAAGCTTCACTCTTGGTGTGGTGCCACTGGGCGGCCTACTGATCCAAGCCAAGGGCACAAATCTCACGCCGAGGGCGTCATGTTGACATTGAAAAAAACTATAAGCACTATCGACCTTAAAATTCCGTCGACTTTGAAGCTGTTCTGTCAGACAACTCCACACTTGCATCGGATTGCAGCATTGATGGCTCGATTGAAGCCCTCATGAGCTGACAGCCTACGAGCGGGGCATGTACGCTGGGTCTATGGCCGGTGACTCAGCCGGCAGACTGAAATGAGATTGAACCAAACGTTCTGGTATGTTGAGCGTAGCTCTGCGTCTCAATGCGGAAATCAAGAATTTGTAAAGTCTTTCTCTCTCGGAGTCATCTTGGTCGAAGACAGTTAATCGTACGCAGTCCAGCACGAGTCCCGCAGCGGTGATGCTCACCACTACTGTTTGTGCCCCAATCTACCAAGAGCAAGTTTCACATTTCAAAAGGATGAGATCATATCTTGATGTGGCCACATTCAATGTGGTCTCTCGAGATGAATGATGGTGAGAGTGAGATGAGATGAGATGAGATGACATTCGGTGAGAGCAACAGGTGATGAGGTAAGCTTAAATGACGATGGGCTTGGGCGCGAAGCTCACACAGAAACGACCCCGCACCACTCACACCGGGTTCCACAACTTTAGTCACAACAACACTCGGCGCCGCCTCCAACTGCGGGACGGACATCATTGGTTTCCCCATCACACGCCGGCGACATGACGAATTGGAAGTCCGGAGCTTGCTTTATACTGGCCGCGGGCCGGGCCGTTGCTGCCGGACTCGGTCTGCAACATCTGGCGGGCCACGAGGCTTGGAACGCGCTGCAGTCGGCTGCCCGGGTGGAGTCAGAGTCTCAGGTGGAAATCGCCTCGGCTGCTTTTGCGGAGCAGTACCCCGAGTACAATCTCTCTGTTCCTATTGACCACTTTCACAACGACTCGCGATACGAGCCGCACTCGGACGAGTATTTTGACCTTCGCTACTGGTTCGATGCGAAGCACTATCGCAAGGGAGGCCCTGTCATCATCCTCGCGGCCGGAGAGACGGACGCTAAGGAGCGTCTGCCGTTCCTCGACCACGGCATCCTTTCCATCCTTGCCAAGGCCACCGGTGGCGTCGGTGTCGTTCTTGAACATCGCTACTATGGCAAGAGTTTCCCTGTGCCCGACCTCAGCACCAAGAACCTCCGCTTCTTAAGCACCGATCAGGCCCTCGCCGATACGGCCTACTTCGCAAAGCACATTAGCTTCCCTGGTCACGAGGACTTGAACCTTACCGCGCCTGGCACGCCCTACCTTGCTTATGGAGGCTCGTACGCTGGAGCCTTTGCGGCCTTCCTGAGAAAGCTCTATCCCGAGGTCTTCTGGGGCGGCATCTCGTCGTCAGGTGTCACGGCAGCAATCATCGACTACTGGGAGTACTACGAAGGTGCCAGGCTCTTTTCGCCAGGTGACTGCGCCGAGACCACCCAGAAGCTTACTGAGGTCGTCGACAAGATCTTGCTTGGAAAGTCTGAAACTGATAAGAGCCAGCTCAAGGATCTCTTCGGTCTAGGCCCTCTTGAAGATGATGATTTCGCTAGCACCCTGTCGTACGGCATTTCGGGACTGCAGTCAACCAACTGGGACCCTGCCCAGGATACCACCGCTTTTGGAACGTACTGTGCCACTGTCAGCTCAGACAGTGTTCTCTTTGGCAGCACCCGTCATTTGAAGTCGTCGGTGGACGAGTTGCTGTCCGCCAGTGGCTCAGACGCCAAGCTGACGAATCGCATGCTCAACTATGTCGGTTATGTCAAGGACTACGTCAAGAAGGGCTGCAAAAGCGGAGACTTGGTCAAGTGCTTCTCGGGCCGCAACAGTGAAGAACACCAAAACACCTCTATTCGCCAAGGCCCTGGCCGCAGCTGGATCTACCAGGTCTGCACAGAGTGAGCGTTTCCAAGTCAGCGAGTTCGATCAACTTCTAACACTTCTCGTAGATGGGGTTACTTTCAGACTGGATCGGGTGTGCCCGACGATGAGCTTCCCCTTATCTCGCGCCTCATCGACGTCGACTACAGCTCCATCTACTGCCGCGAAGCGTTCAACATCACTGAGCCCCCCAACGTGGACGCCATCAATAAGCACGGCGGCTTCAACTTTAGCTACCCGCGTGTCGCTATCGTCGATGGCGAAGCTGATCCCTGGAGAGCTGCCACACCCCACAAAATTGGCCTGAACCGCAAGTCCACGACCAGCGAACCCTTCCTTCTCATTGATTTGGGTGTTCATCACTGGGATGAGAATGGATTGAAGCCGGAGGATGTTACGCCGCATTTCCCGCCTGCGTCCATCAAGAACGTTCAGGCTCAGGAGGTTGAGTTTGTCAAGGCTTGGATGAAGGAGTGGGAGGAGGCGCAGAGCAAGGACAGCGCCAAAGGAGGTATGTTTCCTATCAGTCATGTATCATTCGGTAAGCTGACGAGAGCGAAAGAAGTGTCCGAGGAGCTTTAGTAGAAGTCAGTGGGTGAGGACTTGAGATGGCAACGCCCGTCGAATCATCATTACGTTCATGCTTCCATTGCCTTTGGCTGGAACATTTAGTTACTAGGAACATGAAAGCTTTACATTGAATGAAACTAGAAGTATTGCCAATACACGACTACTCAATCGAATGGCTGCGCGCCATTTGACCCTCTAACAACGGGCTTGAAAACGAGTTAGAGTCGTCTGCATGGTATGTAAAAACCCTCAACGAATGTGATAAGATAACCGCAGTATGTGCCCCAAATCCAACGTGTCTGCCCATCAAAGCCTTTCAGAAGTTCCACACAAGACCAACATCAACTACTGAGTCTGCGCTTTGATCATATCGGCGGCCTTTCATCCCTGTTAGCAGTACTCCATGAACCCTGAATCATCAGAACATACCTTTTCAGCAACAGCGTAAACAGTCATGGACGTGGTCGCACCAACAGTCGTAGGCATCATCGAAGCATCAACAACTCTCAACTTCTTCACGCCGTACACCAGCAGATTCTCATCCAGCACTCCGCCCCACTCGCGCGGCATCTTGGCAGTGGTACCGACAGGATGATACACGGACGGGATAATCTGCCCCTTGGCCCAGGTTACAAGCTGCGCATCGGACGACACGCCCGTGCCAGGCGACGTCTCGCGCGCCTGATACTGCGCGAGGTCGCCGGTAGTCATGTACCGCCGCATAAACTTGATAATCTCCGCCATAACGTCCAAGTCAATGGCGTTCGACGCAGCGCGGTAGTCGACGACCATTTCGCTCTCGGGCTGCGCCGTGTTGAGGAGGATGTTGCCGCGGGACATGCAGTGCAGGTTCTGCACGGAGCCACCGGGGCCGTACATCATCATCTCGGAGAAGACGACGTTCTTGGAGCGCATGAGCCTGCCCCAGACTTTCTGCTGTTGCTTGTAGCCCTCTGTTTGCTCGGCTGTGTAGGTCGAGGGCAGGTGGGACTTGGGGTCTTGAGCTTCAAATGCCTTGGCCAAGGCCTCAAATCTATCGGGGCTGACGACGGGCAGGCCGATCATGGAGGCGAGGGAGGGCGGACCGCCGCCGCCCCAGCCACCGCCGCCTGAGTTGGGTGGCTGGATGCCCCATTGATAGGATATGCTTGGGATATAGCTGTGATCCTGGAAGTTTGATCCGACGCCGGGCAAGTCGACCTTGACAACGATGCGCGCCTGCTCGAGGTGTGCGCGTGGCCCGATACCGCTGAGCATGAGGACCTGCGGCGTGTGTACGGATCCGGCGGCCAGGATGACTTCGCGACGGGCTTTGATCTGTACAGGAGCGGCTCCCGTGTTATTACGAGAGACGAATTGCACTCCTGTAGCTGTGTCACCGTCAAAGAGAATGCGGTTGACCTTGGCACCGACGATCATCTCGTAGTTTGCGCGGTTGAGGCCGTCCCAGTGGCCGGTACGGGCGTAGGATCGCTGGAACTGGACGGGGTCTTGGGACATTGGGTACCAGTAGAGGCCGGCCTCGCCCGCGCCGCTATCGACGGGGATGGTCATGCCGGGCATCTTTGCCATTGCGTTGTAGAGGATCTCTTTGAACTATGGTCAGTGGTTTGTGAGTGACGGTAGGAGTTCATGTGAACTGGGACCTACTTAGGACAGACTGAAGAGGGCCCTTGCCAAAGGCAGCATAGATCTTGGAAGTTGTGCCCCAGTACTTGGTATCGTAGGTGATGTTGTACTCCTGAGCTTGAGCTGCGTCAGGAGGCGCGAGGGTGATGCCCTAGGACTTGTCAATCTCGTATGTTCTCATCCCCTCGCCTGATAGCTCGAACCTTCTTGAAGTATGGCAGCAGATTGTCCCAGTCCCAGGTAGATCCGGGTCCACCAAGCTCTTTCCAGGCATTGTACTCATCTTTGGTTCCTCTCAGGAATACCTGGCCGTTGACGGAAGAGCTTCCACCGACGACGCATCCAATACCCACATCGAAGCTTCGGCCGTTGAGATTGGGACACGGCTTGGACGTGATGTTGAACATACGGCGTGGGTTCATGCCGGTTTGGCTATCGTAGTAGCCATACTCTACTACGAGAACGGTGTCTTCTCTGCATTAGATTGAAGCTTTGTGCGATACAAGACACATTGGAAACTGACATTTGCCGTCCTCTGTGAGTCGATCGCCGACTGTCAGGCCAGACGTGCCTCCGCCGACAATGACATAGTCGTATTCGGTGGCGAGCTGCTCCGCTCGGGTGAGTATCTGGACGTGTTCGGGATGCTGGGTTGGCCACGCTGATGTGAGATGCGTGGCAACGCATAGGCAGTACAATGTGAAGTTTCTGATGGAAGGCATTTTTAGCCTTTGAGAAGACAAAAGAACTGTGCAAAAAGGGAATTGACGTAGGTATGGAGACAGAAGGCAGAGAACTGGGAAAGATGGGCATCTTATAACTTCAATACTTGAGTTGCGCTGTTAAAACTTCACCGTTTCAAGAGAATAGTCCACGCTGTACGACATGGAGTCCCAGATACAGTCCCGCTGGAGATGTTGAAGTACCAGACCTGCCTGGGCGTGAGTCGTACCATTCCGGAGGAAACACCTTTCTTGGTTCTATCAGTGTCTCACACGAGCCAGGAGTACCACGATTATCCCATTGGCTCTATCTACGTGGTTCATTAAGCTTATAATAGGCTCAAGGGAGGCAAGTGAGCAACATGCGGGGAGCGAATCGGCAGTGCGCACCAGAGTCGTATGAGCCGCAGCCCCTAATATACAAAGTGCGGGGACAAGCACTGAAGAGGAACCTAATAGGTGCCGCTTAACCTCAATCGAGTATATAGACTTGCCACGTTGCAGCCAAGAGCCGGATCCTATCGACGACTTCATACTGTTCCTGATTGAATCCGGTTGCCAAGACCGGATCAAAGCAGAACCTAGAGTCATGAGCTACCGGACTGGTCTCATTTTGCCTAGAGCGAGGTGTCGGCTAAGTGAACAGAGTCTGGCAGATCGAGAAGTATCATCATTGGATGTGTGACTTGGTACTTTGATGAGGCAGGAGAGACAGGCGTGATACGTTATGATTTCAGAGACTCTTAGCAGCAATCAATCAGTTTCGAGCAGCATTCTCAGGCATCTCGAACAAAATCAAGAGTGGGTCAGGAACAAAGCCTTTGAACTCAAACATGATAATATTGAAATTCAACTAAGATATTTAATTCTAGAGCCAGCATAGAAGGTATACGTGAGGTTCTCGAGGTGGTGTAAGTGCTTCAAGTGTATAGGTACACATCAGCCGGGGTTTCCTCATAAATCATTATCAAATATTGACGTTCGTTGAAAACACCACCACTCTCCCGATTGCTACAGCCAGCCCTTGATCTACACTATTTCTGCTGCAGTGAATTTATGGCCGCATTTATCAGGCGAGTGGAAGAGTACGCCGTGGAAATGGCTTGGATGTCGCTTGACGATATCAAAAAGCACACGTGCGCCTTTCGCCTCATCCTCTTCGGAGCGATGGGGGACTCTCATGTAATTCTTGAAGGTCCGACTACCAACCGCGTGTCTTAACTTGCCGAAAAAGTCCCGGACGAATTTCTTCCACTCGGGTTGTCGTGGTAAGTTGTCAGGTGGAAGCCAGAACTCATCAGACACCAGTTTGGACTGAATATCGCGCCACTGGGGAGGAGTTCCGGGCGCGAAACGGAGAAGATGTCTCATCTGGTAGTGACACCACTCTGAATGCCAGAAGGGAACTTGGTACTCTGGCGCGGCGATTTGTCGGATAGTCTTGAGGTTTGAAAGTGTTGCTTTATTGGTCCACATCCAGAAACATGTGTTTGTGACATGATGCGGGCGTCGCGCTACGAAAGGCTTCGTGTCGACGACGATGTTCTGGATGTTTTGCATCCAGCCGATGCTTTCTGTGACACATGTGCGGAAGCGCACCTTGACGTGGACAAAATCGATGTCCCAGTTGATGGTAACATTCTCTCCCATTCTTGATGCCAAATCTTTCGGTGGAGGGATCGCCATCCAGGGGCCTCCCTCGCCTTCCTCAAGCTCGTTTATAGTGAATGCTGGAAACCAGAACGGCGACCTGACACTTTGGGCCACGGATCTCGACAAAGAATCGATCTTCAGGTCGATGGAGTCGTAGTAGCCATCCGGGTACTCTGCATCCTGTCTGGACAGAATCCAAAACACCGTACGATGTGTTGGTTTCTCCGTTTCCTCGTTTTCTTTATTGAATGAGTTTGAGCCGTTGTTTGATGGCCGGATGAGCGGATCAGTGGAATCGCGGCCCTCCACGTTGTCTGACTCATCATCTACTTGGTCGAATTCTAGCTCGTCGAATGGATCATCGATGGCTCTATCCCTGATAGCCCCATTCTCGACCGTCCCATTCTCTGCGGTTCCATCCTCAGCTTCTCCATCATCAGCAGCTTCATCCTCCGAAGATTCCTCTTTAGAACTATACTCATCGGATAGATACTCGTCATATGGTTGCCCCTTGGGAGTATTGATATGTAGGGCGTCGGATTGCGGAGTGCTGTTCTTTGAAGAATTACCCTCCGGGGCCATCTTCTTGGAAGCATCCTCTTCGGCCGTTTCCTCTTCGCAAGGCTCTTCGCCGGACGATTCCTCCTCGCAAGGTTCGAGGCCCCAGTCGTAATCTTTGCCTTCTATCTTATCGTCTTTTGGATGAAGCTCTGCGATGTAGTATCTAGGTTCCAAGTAAAACTCGCGCCAAATCTTCGACTTGATCTTGTCGGGAAACTTCGCGAATTGGTGAAAAGTCGAATCTGGAATGGGCACAAGTTTGTATAATTGTGGTTTCTTTTGAAGCCTTCTCACGAGTCTGACGCGTTTGGACTTGATCTTTATGGGAACCTCCGTGAACCTGTGATGATTCGGATCTGGAGGCGGACCTGAAAGGGGCATAAGCTCGTATGTGTCTTGATGCTCATCACCTTTCCTGTAGGGAAGGACGCATTTCGCCGGTTTCTTCAAGTCTTCGTTGCGCATTTTTCTGAAGGGGAGCGGCGGAGTGCAAGTAGCTTAGTTGGAAATCGTGTATGAATGCAGCATTGCAGGAACGCGCACGGCTGGATGTATCGTAGGGTAGAAACGACGTTGATTGCTAGCTGCAGTCAACGGTGCGATTTATGAGGCAGAATGTAAAGACGTTGAAACATTGGTTTTCTATTTTCCTTACCAGCCGCAAGGGGCATGGGTATTGGTTCTCACTACCCTTCTGGTCCTTGAACGGAAGGTTTTACCAGCCAGGTTACATAGTTTTTCGAATTTTTTAATGCGTGGCTTTTCGACTTAATAAGACATCAGGGTCTTGTTACATGTACTCACGAAGTCAAGAATCGTCGGAATTTCAAATTTACTCTCCAGGAAAGGGAACAAATGACCTGGAAGGGCTGTTGACATCACCCAACGGTATGCGAAATCTGTATTTAGTAAGTTTCGATCAGTTTAACCTGTTACATACATGAACAGGATCTGCTTGAAATACTATGACATAAATCCTCATATCCTTCTTCTTGAATGCTTAGGATCGACGCCTAAGCTACCACAATCGTAACATCGAGAAGAGATAATCAAACCCGAGCATGAGGTTGCACACTGGAGCCAGACGAAACGACAATTAGGTTAGAAGAGCACCATATTTAACGCCTCATAAGTGCCATTTTAGGCCATAACCCCGTCTTGACCGAGGCTTCAGAATTGGGCATAGTATACCAACATCCATGAAATGAATCCACCAAAGAAAAGTGCATCATAACCCAGCTCTCCTCATTGGAACTTGAAACCTGCAGGTTCCTTAGGTCATGTCGTCATCTGAAGATGACTCCCCAGACTCTGAAGATGAGTCTCCCGATGTGGAAGAGTTACCCGACGTAGATAGCTCTTCAGATGTAGATGATTATCCCGAAATAGACGACTCCTTGTTCGACTTCCATGCACCAATAATCCCCAAACATCAGGAGGCCACTGTCCCAATCGTAGTCGAAGCCTAGTTGGCGCGCTTTAGCGACGGTTCTTTCCAGCTTCTGAAACTTTCTGTAATACTGGGATGAAGAGGAGGCCATGCTGATATCGACTGAGGGCTCTTGAAGAGCCTAGTCGATTGTCGCATAAGACTGGGAGTCGGTAAGTGAGTGTCACGAATTAAGCCCAACGCGGTTCTCAAGAACTCAGTCGGTAGGGTTTTTGGTCTCCACATTTAAGGTCTACCACGTGGTGATTTGGCAGGGGCTTTCAGAAGCGTTTCTCGACTTGATCTCGACTTACTCACTTTCAGTACTTTTGCCCTGGCCGCCTTACTTTCTGAATAATGCCTACTGCTTATTGAGCCAATTCTTTTATGAGACTTCTTCTCAACTTATTACTTATGGATTTGTAATCAAACATCGGGTTTCAACACTTATTTTCCTCCTCGAAGCCCCGTTGAAGAAGTCAAAGTGTCCGCAGTGCTCGAACACGAGTACCTTGACTATGCATGCACGATAGAAGCCATTCCAGACTTCAGACGGCCCAATCCAGCTACTTTGGACGGAAAAGAAAAGTCAATTAAAATCTGTGTTAGTTACATGATCATTGGTTTAACATGACGGCTAAGTCACATCTCGGGTGTTGGAACATTGTGGCAATCAACGCTACAGTCGCAGGGCCATTTTCTGTTCCTCCAGTCGGTGCCGACCAGGATACAAGGTCGCAAAACTGGCTTCCTCTCTCAATCAGCCCGCATCAGCGGATCTGAGATCACGGCTTGGTGGCAGAGTGGTCTAATGCGCAAGACTAGAAATCTTGTTCCTTCGGGAGCGTCTGTTCGAATCAGGCCCAAGTCGATTTTTGCCATTCCTAGCAATCAACTTGACTTGGATTTGCGAGAAGAAGTGGTAGCAACCTTTAATTTTGCTCACAAGTGCTCCGAAACTCATATTTCAGTCATTCGGAGCATACATTGCAGGGGGCAACGCCATTCAACCGGTTTCATTATTCATACAAAAAGCATCGCTGGAAAATGATCTAGAGCTTCCATGACGGCCCAACAGAAGTAATCTCATCATAAAGTAGTCTAGAAATGGAGCTGTTAGCGTTGAACGGCATTCATACAGAAGCAGTAGTAACTCACGTCGTCAGGAAGTCGGCGTAGTCCTCGCCCGTAACTTGCGGCCGCAGGTATTTCGCCGCAAGCTCGAACTTGTTGTTCGCCGGCGCAGACTTGAGCAGCTCCTTTGTGACCTCGTCGAGGATGTTGAGCATTGTTGTCTTGTCGAGTTTTGTGCCTTCAGCGGTGCTGACGCCGTGGTGTACCCAGTACCACAGTTGTGAGCGCGATACCTCAGCTGTTGCGGCGTCCTCCTGCAAGTCTGGTTAGTTATGTCCCAAGATGGGCCGAAAGCAGCAGTTGAAACGTACCATGAGATAGTTGATAGCACTGCAGCCCACACCACGAAGCCAACCCTCCATGTACGCCAGAGTGATATGCAGATTCTTCCTCACACCCTCGTCGGTAATTTTTCCGGGAACAACAGAGTTGATCAAATCGTCGCGCGTGACCTTCACCTCGGGCCTCTTGAAGATCTGGTTCGCGGTAGGCATGTGCTCGTTGAAAATCTCCGACGCAATCGACGCAAGCGCCGGGTGCGCAACCCAGGTACCGTCGTGTCCGGCCTTGACCTCGCGCAGCTTGTCGGCGCGCACGCTGTCCATCGCTTGGGCGTTCGCGGCCGGATCGTCCTTGCGCGGGATGAGGGCCGCCATGCCGCCCATTGCGTGGACGCCGCGGGCGTGGCATGTGCTGATGAGGAGCTTGACGTAGGCGTCCATGAAGGGGACGGTCATGCTTACGTCGGAGCGGTCGGGGAGAACGAAGCCGGGGCGGTTGCGGAAGCGCTTGACAAAAGTGAAGATGTAGTCCCATCTGCCGCAGTTGAGGCCTGAGCTATGATCTCTGAGCTCGTAGATGATCTTAGAGCATGTTAGTGAGGGAACTGATTCTTGTACTGATTGAGTGATACGAACCTCGTCCATCTCGAAAACAGCGCTGATGGTCTCGATCAACACGGTAGCGCGGATGGTACCTCGTGAGATACCGATGTAGTCCTGCGACATGTTGAACACGTCGTTCCATAACCTCGCCTCGAGATACGACTCCATCTTGGGCAGGTAGAAATAGGGGCCGGCGCCGCGGGAAGTCAACTCTTTGGCGTTATGGAAAAAGTACAGTCCAAAATCAAACAGGGCGCCGGACATGGGTTGCCCGTCGACGGTGAAATGTTTCTCGTCCAGGTGCCATCCGCGCGTGCGGGCGATCAAAGTCGGAAGTGTGCGATCAGTTCTGAGCTTGTACTCTTTTTCGCCGAGCTTGAAGTCAACTTGCCGGCGGATGGCGTCGTAAAGATTGGCCTGGCCCTGAATCATGTTGTCCCACGTAGGACCATTTGAGTCTGATCGGTGTAAGTCAAAATACAACTGACTGTTTCAAGGGCTTCCTATCTCACCTTCAAAATCAGCCATGTAGGCCCAAACATCAGAGTTGAGCGCGTTGACGACCATTTTCCTGTCCGTGGGTCCGGTAATTTCAACTCTGCGATCTACCAAACCAGGCGCTGGCTGGGCGCCTCTCCAGTTCTTATCATCGCGAACGTGCTTAGTCTCAGGGAGGAAATCTGGCAGGTGTCCGTTATCTGTGTCGATTTGACGTTGTTGGCGGAGCTTGAGAAGGTGTTGGCGAGTCGGCTCGAAACTGCGGTGCAGGATTGCGAGAAAGTTGACGGCTTCCTTTGTGAGGATCCGGCGAGAAGCTTCGTTGCCGGCGCCAAGGATGGAGACACTGTCTGATATTGATTGAACCATTGTGAAATTTCGACGTGGATATTTGAATACAGATCTATTCAACGTTTGATTTTAACTTAATAATACGGCTCTATAGTCACTCGTGATATCGAAGAGGCTATCGCCAGATATTAAGTACTCTTCTCACGGTTAATGGCGCATCATTAAAAGCTCGGCTCTATTCCGATGGTGTTCTGAATCATTGCGGAATTTGGTGAAGATTCTCGGCTCGGTACCCGAACCGGAGGCGGCCGTCATCCGATTGGCCCCACTCGCCCAGATCGTCCACCACGGTCGAACGGAGACGTTACACTTCGGACACTGTCTCAATGCAAAGGCAATTCATACGTCACTGGCGAACGATAATTCCCGAGTTATTTGCGTTGATTTATAATGTTTCGATTCCATTTAACATTATTTGTAGCGACTATGAACCATACCCTCCCGGTGCCATCATCTTTTCCAGCTCAGCCCAATCCAGCTGGTCAACTCCCGTTAAGGGGAGAGTAGGGTCATTGAAACTATTATAGATACCCTCCGCCGCTTCCAGCCCAAAGGCTTGTTCCAGATTCTCATCCAAGTTCAGACCGAACAACGTGTCTGATCCATAAGTGTCAGCAGGTCCTCCAAACATTTCTCCCTCCCAAGACGGCACAGAGGAACTGGGCGTCGGCGTAGTCAAGGGCATCTGGGCTGGTGAAGGTCCCGACTGCTCCGGTAGTCCGGCTCCGGGTGTGTTCCCTACCTGGGGTACCCCATGGGATGCCCCGGAATCTCCCATCTGCACGTCATGGTCCTTATCGAACGCTACCACATTGGCCCACACGTGTGCAGAAAACTGCCGAACATCCTTGAGACGCTGCGCTGCCGCCTGATTTCCTGCAGAAGACAGATACTCCAAGAAATCAATGGCCTGGAACAGTTCTTGCGGTGGCGGCTTTTGACTATCCTGCTTGTGTGCGAAGCCGCGCATGATTAGGACGAAGGCGGCTGAAAAGGCAGCATCCAGATCGAAGAATGCAAATGGCGCTTCCTTTTGTTAGTAATTCGCTCTTCAAATTTGCCACCCGGGGAGAATCAAGGCCTTACCAATTTCTTCTTGCCTTTGCATAGCCATGAGGATGCGGATAATTCTCAGAGCCGACTCGTTGCACAGAAGGCACAGTTGAGAGATTGCCGAGGTCACAGCCTGCTTCTGTGTTTTCTGAACCTTGTCTTTGACCTTTTGCAGAAGAATTGGTCTGATGCAGAGAATGATGGACTAATTTGGGTCGTGTTAGCACCCGTTTGCCTCGATAAAGCCAAAAGATTTGCCCATTGAGAGACGGAAGTTGGTGCTTACCTGAAATAACCTCAGATATAGTGATGCACCAGCTCTGGTGACCTCAAACTGCTTGTTGCTGAAGTCAATGGCAAGATCTGCCGGGATAGATCCGCCAATGTCGTGTAGTGATTGGAGCAAGTTTCTCATCTTCCTGACAAGATCGGCTTGCGATAGTGCGCCTCGACTATATAATGCTATTGATCACGATGATCAGCTGTGGGCCATACGAGTGACAACCAAAACGGACATGTTGTGAAGTCGACATACATGACATGATCTCTCCCGTTGTCCGGGCAATCTTGACGTTGACATTGAGAGGCTCTGGAGAATCAAACCCTGGAGAGGGGCCAGGGAGATCGAACGAAAGGTGCCTATCATCAACGGAAGCTGGACGCCCGAGGCCTGCCGATATGCGCCTAGTTGTGCATAGACGATTAGCTTCGAAGTCTTGGTGGATTAGGGTGGTAGGCTTACTGATCCAGCATGTAGACAGTCCACCACACCCGCATTCTGTGTGCTCTCTCTGATGGTAGGCACTTTTGCTCTGAAAATGGCAAGTTGCAGCCCAGAGTCAGGGCAAGTCTGACTGTTGTTCCCACCTATAGCTTGTTAGTATCTCATCTCATCCAGCATGAAAGAATCGGAACTTACGAAAAAGTATGCATCATTTTTCCGGTCGTTCCACTGCAGATATGTCGTCGCCAGACACAGAATCTCAAGCCCAACTATGCCATACTCGCTGATGCTGTGAAGTGGCGGAAGCCTCCTCATGGCCTCAGCAAACCAGAACGCTCCCGGGGGTCCGCGTACCTCGCGCGGATCCTCTTCCATCAGCTTGCCCATGGCCATGACTAGAAGGTACAGTGTGAACCAGGGCGTGTCCATCTGTCGAGCTCGAGATGCTTGGCTGTTGAAAAGCAGCGTCATGTTGTCTGTGAATGTCCGCTGGTCTAAGAAGTGCTGTGTGACTCCCATGTAGGAGTTGAAGAGGTTCAGGAGACGATTAGACTCGGCCTCTTTGGGGAAGGCCTGGTGAGGGATGCCCTTGATCAACTCATTTGTTGAAGTCCATTCAGGGGTAAATGGCAGGTCACGCGGATCCTCGTTCTCCAGGTGTTCCGGAGCATCCTTCTCCGGAGAGTCTGGGTCTTTGCCATTGTTCTCGTGGAAGAGACTCCGCAACCGTTGCTCGAAGAGCGGGCCGGGAGCACGTTCTATGGATGCTGTTCCTTTCGCTTCAGTTTTGGTTCAGGATCCAATTGCAGTCTGGGTGAGATCTACGCACCATAACTCGGAGGCGGTACCTCACCAGTAGGCTCAAAGGGCGCAATGCCTGGTGGACTCGGATTTGATGCCCCTGTTGAGACCCCCCGGGCGGGTGGCGAAGGTTGTGCTCGTGGTTGTCTGGCGAGCTCTGCTTGATATTAGACCGGATCCTTCCTACCGCAAGCAGTTGCCTACAATTGCCTGAAAGGGATCAGCCGTGATAACTTACCCTTTATTTGGTCCTCATATCGGGTCAAGGTGGCTCTCAATTCCGAGACGTATCTGTTCACTGGCTTAGCAAGTTGGAGAAGTCCGACCTCGGAGCAGACTCACGCCTCTGAATATCTCTTTCTCCCATCGCCAAATTCACAGTCTAGGTTGTTTCGTGCACAATTCCTGCAAGGCTGCTCTCCCGAACACTTGACCTTGCGCCTACGGCATGTGTTGCATCTAAGCCGGCAGTCAGCATGGCAAACACGTCACAGCGGTGGAGTTTGGTGGGGGTGAATGAAGGGCGGGCGAATTGAGGGTGGTGGTGACTGACGCGTTCGCGGACCGTGCTTTGGCGGCAGCTTGCTGAGGCATCGCGCCTTCTTCCTCGACCTCGTCTTTGATGCGTCTTTTCCTCTTCCGGCTCGAAGAAGAGGCTCCTGACACCTTGTGAGACTGCTGCCCGTTCAGTTCACCGGTAAGTTTGCAAAGTCTTCATGTGATGGAGGTCGCTGCGGCAATTGGAAGTGTGGGGCTGATAAGAGCCGAACTTGCCTTGGATGAGGGGTCTGGGGTCGGCGATAACGACCCCCGGTAGCTGCTACTCGACATTTTACTATGCGGTTTGGTAACCCGGTTACTGCAAGTCATGTATGTATGCCACTTGATGCAGCAACTGAGTATAAGATTGAGCGCTGGAGAATGATGCGATGATCTTGTCAAGAATCTTCAACAAAGTGCTGTATTGTTTGTGTAGCTTCCCAAAAGGATAGTTTACTGAATGAAATGTTTGGAGCACTTGGCTTGTCAAAAAGAAAGATCCACGACGTAACATGGCACAGAGGCGGCAAGACTGTCTTAATCACAACATTCGCCCTTCGGCAGCCATCCGATCCGCTTGTAGCCAGGACCCACCATCGGCTTCCAGCTCCGAACATCGCTGATAAGACGCACCAGCCAATGAGGTAGGCTGGAAGAGAGCTTGAACAAAAAATGCCGTTCTAAAGGACACTCGACCTTAGTACCAGTTTCTTGCGACGCGGGGTGCCCTTTTTATAGATGAGATTGATCAAGGGCAGAGAAGCCGAAATGATTGAACGTCGGTTCCCTTCCGAGAGACAGACTGCCGGTCTTGGCCGATGTCCGACACTGTCTTGTGGGGATAGCCGGAGATCTCCTTTACCAAAGTTGTCATGGTAGTGATCAATCTACCAAATCGCAAATAAAACACAACGTTCTCCCTCGTATGGTTCATATTCCCGACTGTCGTTGCTCTATGTGGTCTCAATGGCAAGCAACTGCTGAGCACACATTTTGCTCACTCTACTATGCTTGGCCTATTCGAGACATTTGGCCAGGGCATAGGTCTCTCTAGTCTTCATGTTCGCTTATCATAGCGCACCTACCGGTCTAAGTGGAAACCAACCGTGAGTAACGCAAGTAGAATATCTAGTCTTATCTTTGCAGATTCGAGAGGTATCCTGCACTCCACGTGTCGATCACTAACGTAGAGGTAGGTGTCGCAAACCTCACTGCAAGCATGGAGGATTGCAATCCCAAGTCAATCACATCTATATCACTTGCAGGCCACGATGATACAGCTTGAACTTTTCGTCGGCGTTTTGTAGTCGGAGCCATACGCACGTAAATCACAGAGCTACATGACGTAACTCCCAAGTTCACAATATGAACTTGAGTTGGGAAGACGAGCCCAGTAGTGACTTTGTCTGCCGCATTCAATTTCACTGAGTCGCTTATGCAAAGTCTCAGGTCCAATAACGAGGATGAACTCGGCATAGCCTTAAGCTACACTGTTATTAAGCAACAAGACGACTCATGGGCACCGAACTTACGTACTCATCAATCTGTATCCAGTCCGGGCTGATCCCAAAAGCCATTGAGGCCGGCAAACACTGCACTGATATTCTGAGTGAAGTTCGGCATTTTCTTCAGGCCCGCATCAAAGCCATTGTTGTATCATTGAATGCTACTGGCCGCAATCTCTTACCCCGAGGTTTGGCAGAGATCCAACAGCGCTTTCGTACTGTACGTCACCCTAGCCATTATATCTCACTGAGACTAAGGTAATAACTATAAGGGGACATGCTCGCTGGACTGTCTTATTATGAACAGCTCATCGAAGTTGACTCTCGGCATCGGATCATCTGCCAATGGAGTAAGATGACGCTGAAATCAGCCTATTGGTATGAAAGTAAATCTGGTCAGCTACACAACGTCACTGTGTCATTTGACTTGACACTTGACACATATCTGTTGAATATGGCCATTCATCATGCCTTTACGTGATGCATCTAGGTCTTACTGGCCCGTGATTAGACGGCTTCAGGGAGGAAGTAAGCAATCCTGACGGATTTCCTGTTATGCGAGTGTCGAACAATACGCCAACTGAAAAACATGCTATTAACTCTCCTTGAATAGTGATTGCAGGCGGCTTGATATCAAGTGATCAAAATCCCCACCGGGTATGCCGTATGGCCTTTGGTTGACAAAAGTTCTCAAAGGAACATCGTATGCAGCCCTCGAATGAAATGCCGAGTGTCTCATGCCTAATGCAGAAGAAGGCGTAATTAGTACGCTAATCACCACTTCGCGGGGTGTGTGGACTGCCAATGGTTCTGGAGCTAATAATAGGCTGACGTGAGATGAAAGGAGTCTGAATCCTGTGAGATCATTGAGACACCTGCCAGGAATGCATAATTATAAGAAGATGCCAACACATCAGTGATATTCGAAGGCACTCGCAGGTGATTCTCCTTCACTTTTCCACTCTCAGTTCAACGCAAATCGCTGTACCGAGTCCTCAAATATGGCATTCCGACAAAAAGTCGAAGCGACCATCAAGTCCTTCTTCGAGGCATACACAGACGGCGAAAAGCATAATGACGCCTCAATCATCAACCGCGAGGTCAGCACAGACTGCACCCGCCAACTGCTCCCCCGTTCCATGACCAAAGCATTTGGCATACCGGGCGATTTCATCCTTGACAACGCGGCCTACCAAACACAGTTCGCCAAGGACATCGCCGTCTTCATAGTCGGGGCCACTACTACTTCAAACCTCGTCGTCGACTCCGAAGCTCGAAAGGCCGCACTTACGTCCTCTTCGAATATTAAGTTCAAAGACGGCTCAGAGAATCTTCAATTGGAATTCAGTTGGTTCTTTGACTTCAACGAGGACGGTTCCAAGGTCACGAAGGTTATCGAGTTCTGCGACAAGGATTCAGTGATGCTCATGCATAGCAAGGTCAGTGCGAACGAATCGCACGTCCTAGATGCTAAGACATGATGAGGTTTCTGTACGGCTAGCTAGATCGTTGTAGAGTCATCTCTTGGTAGGAGCTTCCATGCCATATCTCCATCATGAATTCTTGATATCATTGCACTCCATACCTCAATTACTTGACATGCCTGCATCGTGTCCTCAAACCGAGCCCTAGAACAGGGTCAGGTATACCTAACAAATCACTCATTCGCACTTCCTCAGGGCGAATGGGTTCCATCGGTCTTGACCTCTTGCGCGAACCGGATGACGCCTGTCCTGTCAGCCTTGAGCTGAACCGGAACATCTCCGACCAGTCTCTTGAGGCCGCCAGGCTCAACTATGCCGCCAGCAGCTTTCTCTCTGATTTCATCGTCCATGTTCATGCATACTGGCAAAAGTACGTCGGACTTCCATGGCAGCAGCCCTTTCCTTTTCGTTCGCAGAACCTCAACTACGAGATAAATCACCGACACAGCGACCAGGGCGACAGAGTATACGATCCAAGCCCAGCGCACTACAATGACAACCTGGGTAGCCATCACGGTACCTCTGAAAGCGTCGTTGCCTGTAGTGTCGTTACTGTTCAGGCGTACGTCGTTGGTCAAGCTTCTTGTAAGTCTCTCCATCCAGCTGCCGACGTCCCCGAAACTGGCGTGCATTCCGTCCGCAAAGGGAGACGCCGAGGTGAAGACAATCCCCAAAGTCCCATCGGCGCTGACGTTTCCTATAATGTTTGTCTTTGCGTATGCTTTCATGGCGTACATCTGAAATGGACCCATTCCGTAGCTCTTGCCTGCCTCGGTATTGAAGTTGGCCGGGATGTTCACGAATGTGACATTTCTCCCGGTGGAAGTCGAGCCTTCATCCACCTCACTCCAGGTATCGACAATCTCGTCCTTCAGCTGTCCGGATCCTACGCTGATATTCCTCGCCTGGAGGCAATACCATAGAGCACACTCAGCCGCGCGGGAGTCATCAAGTGGGGTCGTCGCCGGCATCCCGCCAGGAATACCGAGACCGCTGAACTGCGCAATCAGATTGGGCGCGTCCGCCTTGATCATTCGAGGATCTGTGGATTCGAAGGTGCGGTTCGAGCCAGTGCTGATGTTGAACACGGGCATCCAGTCGGATCCTGTGCCGCAGTAACCACTAAGACGCGCACCGTCAGGCGCAGTCACAACGCAACTCGCAGAAGAGCTTCGGTTCATTTTGATCTCCGATGTTAGGTCGACACAGGAGCCGCAGACACCGACGGTCGGAACGATGGGCCAAGTGCAGTTACCAGTGGGGCAGGTCACTTGCGGCAAGTTGACTTCCGTAGACATGAATCCGGTGTACATGGCAAGTTTCGTGGGTGATAGGGGGTCCCCTGGGAAAAAAATAAAGTGTTATGATCATGCGACGAACAGAAGAGTTGCGTCTCCAACTCCAGAAGAGAGCGACTTACAAGAGTTTGAGTATCCCGACACCGTGCTTGCCCATTGACTTCTGGCAACGGTACCTGCTTGGCCTTGCGTGTTGCTCATAACCTGGTCTATCCTCAAAGTGATCAGTTGCTGGGAGAAGAAGCCCAAAGCAAGGGACAACATGGTCAACACAGCTCCAACGCAAGCAATGTGCCTAAGATCCTTGTCAGCATTGGTAGATTTCTGGTGTAATTCATACGATTCAAGACCTACGCTCCCTTGAACCTCCACATCAACTGCAAGCTACCCCATGAACCTCTCGAGGCGTCGTCGATCAACGTAAAGTCATCCAGTCTATGGTATCCACCCTTCTTTCCAGAGAAATGATTCCATTTCGCCTGGCTGAGAATGGCACCCACAGCAATCATGAAGGTCGCGCGGCAGACGGTAGACAGAATCGCGATCAGACCGTTGAGGGTCAGGATCGTGCTTGGCCATGCATCTTGCGGCTTGCCATCGTACTGCCACAGGACGATTGCCTGAGCGACGAGACTTGCAACGGCGAGAAAACAACATCCTATTTCCATGTACCACCATCTCAAAGTCGAGTATGTGTGAGGCTCCCCCACGCTGTCAAGGGTGTTCTCTCTGGCTGGTAAAATGTCATAATCACCCAGATGAGATTCCACGACTTTGGGCACGGTTTTGTGAGAAGTTCGATGCCCTGCCTCATCTTGATGGATCAGCTCATCCTTCTGCGGGCCGTTCGTCGACCGATGAGCTTGAGAAATCATTGTCGATATTATTGAACTGCGCGATCGTCCGAGTCAGGGCTGCTCGTTTGCGGGGGCTAGAACCTAGGGTCGTGGAAGGTTATTCATGAAGGGATCATTAAGATGTCAAGCCCACAACGCGAAGGAACCTCTTCCCTAGCGTATTTTGCGAGGATAGTGTCTATCTTAAAGTTTTTGAGTTTGGGCTAAGCCTGCTGCCTGGGACATGGCCTGATGGGCTTGTCATTGTGTCTCTGAAAACCCTAGCCAGATTCCGAGCTGAACTGCGACAGCCGCCAGCTATCGCACTGGAGGAATCGAAGGATCTAATGATGCCATGTGATATGGGTTGTTACCCCTGGCGCATGCATACAAGCTGACAACCAGGTCCCCTGTAAATCAGGAATTCGTACCTTTCTACCAATCATGCAAGACGAGAAGAGTTTGATATTCCGGGGCCCCTTGATGACTGCATGCATTAGTACAACGGCTGGCAATACGACCCTCCTACCTTTTCCTCTTATTCCACAATGCAGTACGGATAGAGCTGAGACTTTATCTTTTCGTCGTAACCCAATTTTGCTAGCCACGCGTAGGACAAAACCGGGAACCTTCAGGCAACAGTTTAAGGATGTATCCACAAGTTCAGTGCAGCTCAACATCAATTGGGTCATCATTGCATAGTAAAGTAGCCAAAAAGGGAAGAAGCGATTTCGAGTAACAGCGCTGTTATTCTCAGATTTTCTCAAAGAAATGCTATGATACAATGCCCACAAAAATCTCAACCAATATCTACAAAGCAAAAATGACTAGCCAAGTGATCACCGCCATCGTCGTCAACTGTCCCATGTCTCGTGTCAACATCCACCTTTTCTTTCTTTCTCTGCTCTCAATGCTTGACAGCCATGGCCCAATGTCTCCTGGTAAGACAAACCCAGACTCAAGATGGTATCAAATTCGCTGCTGCTGTGCGGGCTGAACCGATGACTTCAAGTCTATCGTTGATGATCGTCTTCGTGACTCTCTAGCGAGAGAACTATTTAGGCGCTCTGGGTAGGAGCGGGAGGAGCTCCGGAAGGAGGAGGGCCGGTGGGAGTGCCGGTAGGCTTGGGAGGGGGGGTTCCGCTAGGAGCAGCACCCTCAGCTTGAGCACCGCTGGGACGAGGAGGAGGGGTGCCAGAGGGAGGAGCGCCGGAGGGAGGAGTGCCGGAAGGCTTGGAGGGAGGGGCGGACTCGGCGCGCTTCTGGGCAGGAGCGGAGGGTGCGCCGGAAGGAGGAGGGCCGGTGGGGGTGCCAGTGGGCTTAGGGGGAGGGGTACCGGAGGGAGCAGCACCCTCGGCCTGAGCGCCGGAAGGTCTAGGGGGAGGAGTTCCAGAAGGAGCGCCGGAGGGGGGAGCACCGGAAGGAGGAGCGCCAGTGGGCTTGGTACCGGTAGGAGCGGCGTCCTCGGCGCGGCGAGCCTTGCCGGTAGGAGCGGGAGCACCGGAGGGAGGGGCACCAGAGGGAGGAGCACCGGAAGGAGCGCCGGAAGGAGGGGGGCCGGAAGGCTTCACTCCAGAAGGCGGGGGACCGGTAGGCTTAGGACCGGCGGGGGCAGACTCGTCAGCGCGCTTGGCGTTGGTGGGCTTAGGAGCGCCGCTGGGAGGAGCACCAGAAGGAGGAGCACCAGAGGGAGGAGGGCCACTAGGGCGAACTCCTGAAGGGGGAGGTCCAGACTCGCCAGAGGGCTTGGCCGGGGGAGCAGACTCAGCACGGCGAGCATTGCCAGTAGGAGCGGGAGCATCAGAGGGGGGAGCTCCAGAAGGCGGGGCACCTGAAGGAGGAGCGCCAGAAGGAGGAGGACCGGAAGGCTTCACTCCGGACGGGGGAGGGCCGGTAGGCTTGGGGCCTGCGGGAGCAGACTCGGCGCGGCGGGCATTGCCGGTAGGAGCAGGGGCACCGCTGGGAGGAGGGCCCGAAGGAGGAAGGCCGGAGGGGGGTGCGCCGCTCGGAGGAGGACCGCTGGGGCGAACGCCGGAAGGAGGAGGTCCAGACGGCTTAGCACCGGAGGGCTCAGCACGCTTGGCGTTGCCAGTAGGGGCGGGTGCATCGCTGGGGGGAGCACCAGAGGGAGGAGCTCCAGAGGGAGGAGGACCGCTCGGGCGGACGCCGGAGGGAGGTGCACCGGACGGGGGAGCACCAGTGGGCTTAGCACCGGCCTCTTGAGCACCGAAGCCGCCGTGGCCGCCACCACTGGGCTGAGCGACGCCGCTGGGGCGAGGAGGGGGAGTGCCGCTCGGGGGAGCACCGGAAGGTGCGCCGGAGGGCGGGGGCCCAGAGGGCAGGGCAGAGTTCTGGCGACGGTTCATCATGCCACGGAAGCGGCGCTGCTGCTGAGCCGGGGGTGTGCCGGAAGGTGGGGCACCGCTGGGAGGCAGGCCGGTGCCGGAAGGGCGCGGGGGAGGAGTGCCGCTCGGGGGAGCTCCACTGCCGTGGGGCGGGGGGGCCAACCCAGTGCCGGACGGGGGCGCACCAGAAGCCTGGGGCGCCGGCGCCGCTGAGCTGATGGCCGCGATGGCGGTAACAAGGGCGAAAATGAGGTTGGAACGCATCCTGGCGAATGATTGAAGTGAAGTTGTTGAAAAAAAGGGTGAGGTCGAGGTAAAAAAAGAAAGAAGGGGGGTTGCGATAGAACAAGTGAGGTTGTTGAGGAAAAGAAAGAAGATGCAGAAGAGATAAGATGAGATGAGTGTGGTGATGAGAAGGAAAAGAAGAGTCTGGATTAGTTGGATATCCGATGCGTTTATATCTTCTTTCGACAGGTACTATACTGACACCGATGACGGGATGGTTTAGCTCGAGTTTCTCGACTTACACCCAAGTGACATGCTCAGCACGTCTTCGAGTCGAGGAGTTGACGACAACGCGGCTCAGCTCCGCAATTCGATGTCCCAGTGGCTCCATCGCGGGCTGGGCCCATCAGGGAATATTCCGTGACGCTATGATCGACTCTCGAGAAAGCACGGAGAAAAGCCCCATTGTCACTGTGGGGAGCTGTTCCAATGCTTGACTGAACATAGTATGCTGTGGCATGTCTGCTTGCGCGGCTTTCCGTCTTCGTTCATCGTTGGCCCAGCCGCGATAGGGCGGTGTCAAGTTGAGTGAGATGGCTCCATGAAGCCCCGACAAGGGACACCAGGGTTTACACAGCACAGTAAGCCACTTTGGGGCCTGGTAGTATCCAGCAACGGGGGACTACAGGAGGTGTTCGTCGGGTCTAGTGCGTCTGAAAGTTTGGTAACGATTGGCCTTGAGAGACCGTTTGTTTCGAAACGTCTGGTTTCGACGCTGTTAACGCCTGTCACTGACAAGTTGTTCTGGCCCCCTAATCCTATGCAGGGACAAACAGGCCAAAAAAGCTCTCCCGAGACAGCCCTTGGGGCTGGGACACGCAAGCCCGCCCACTTCCCGAATTAGGATCCCGGGTAGCGCCCCGAAGGGCTGCGCCGGTGGCCCGGGGCCAGGGGCGGGTTAGTCGACCGCTTTGAGGAATGTGGCGACGGAATTGCTTGCGTTGACACCAGTTGTCACTTTTTTGGCGACTTTATCCTCCAAATTGCTTGCATATTGTACAAACATCGGACGATGATGGCCGAAGTTTCCCAAAAGGGAGTTTTCGGAGTTGTCATGCACCAGACCCTTGAGGCCGGGAAAAAGAAGAACTAGCATTTGCGTGTTTGCGACTCAAAGCGAGATCAAAGGGAGTGAGACAGGCTGGGAAAAGAAGCGCTAGAAACTACGGAAGATGCCATCGCCCCCCTATGCTCCCTTACAATGGAGCTTGCCTCGATGACGTGGACTCTCAGCTCCCTACCAGCCAGTTGTCCAGCTTTAGGTTTGCGTACGCACCTCTGAGCCTGATGTTCTCAGCCTGCCGTACGTATGTTGCGTGCATCTATTCTTGGAAGGGAACATGTTCGTCACAAAGTTGAGCTGGTTTTCGAAAGGCTCATCCCGATTGGGATTGACGTGCTCCAATCATTGTATCCAGTTGTAGTAAGATGCTTCAGTGGAGTTGCAGAGTCGATGAAACCGTTAGCTCGATTTACTCCAACAGGGCGACGTACACCACAATCAATTTGATTCAAGTTCACCAAGAAGCGTCGATCAACCGAGATGTGGGATCAAATTGACGAGACATGGGTCGGAGCTGTTTGCAAGTGTCCGCCTTTCACGCCAATCATTGGTGTTTGTACCGTGGTATTATCTGTGTAGAGCTTTAGCCTCGTGCAGTTGAAGCATAATTGACGGCAGTCTCTGGAGCATCACACCATTACGGAGAATATGAAGCCATGTTCAGATCGACAACTAAAGTTTCTCCATCCAATAGTTGCCCCGTTTGCGGGTTTTCTTTAGATGATGATTTTCAGCTTCTTGTCTCCCCGTAGCGGGATTTGCCGTTTCAACCTAGACTCTGCGTGCCAAAGGTAATGTTCGACGGAGGCTACGAGTACATGTGATTCCAATGATCTTCAGAAGGTTTCATCGAATTTCTTCTTCATTGCCAACAAAGTGCCATTTTACGGAAGTTGGCTTCCGTCTAGCAATTTCCTTTCATCTTCGACAAAAAACAACTTGGCCACGATGATACATGAGAGATCAAAGATGTTCTTCCACCAATCTTTCAAGCCAGTATCAAAGGCGTGATGAGAGATAATATGATCCGTCTTATAATTCGGCTAGAGCTTTGAAACAATATAGGATGACGGGATTCTAAAGATAAAGCTATTTTGAACTTTCCAGGGTCCTGGGAGTGCTTGGGTATTGGAGGCGAGTTGACGTGGCACACCAGATCGATGATCAATTCCAGACGGACGAACGAGGTCTGAGAGCGAATCTCACTGCAACGGTAATCTTTCTTGGTCGATCCAGGATGAACCGGGAACGGAGCTGTCATCGGAACTTGGAAGTGTCACTTGCCTTGTAGCCGCCAGCTCGAGTAAGTCAGTAACTTGATTGTTCATGGTCTGTTGGATCCCCTA